AGATTTAACATGCGTCTGAGAAATCACAAAAATCCTGGCATTAGACACGCCCACACATTTTACATGTATGTTTGTCTTAGTAGGAGTAGTAGGATAATGATGAGATGTCAAAAACCTACAGTAGCAATATTTTCTGAACTTGATATTTCTTGTGTGGTATCATTTAGCTGAGTGTATTTTTTATTTTTTTTTACTCAAACTTTTTATTTTAAATTGTAATTTGTATTTCTGTCTTGCAACATATGCTGTCATTAATGTTTGTTGCCTACAAATGATATAAGTCTTCATACTGAAAGTGGGATCAAAAGTGCAGTGATTTCTGTGTCGAAAACACTCTTCTAGCACCTAGTGAGTAAAACATTAGTGCATTTACAGGGATGTCGACCTCAGGGGATGTCATCTTTGTGTAAAGTTGCTTATTTGCTTTGGGAATGAGAAACCTGGAATAGCTCTCAGTGTCTCAGCTCTCTGGTAGAACAGGTTTCAGAATTACACCTTTAGCATATAAGGACAAACAGGAGTGGAGAAGATTCAGATTTTTTTAGCCTAGTCATACACATACTATTCTTTTTGTGTGTATTGCCCTGCTCCAGAGCAAGTAAGGTAACAAGTGAGTATTGTAAATTCTCACTAGAACACAAAATGTAAATCAATCTGTAGCTAAAAATAGTCCCAATAAATGCGTTATTTCCTCCTGTTTGAGTAACATTTGCTAAAACTTCAGCGCACAGCTGTTTTAGAAAATTAGAGATCTGTTTTTAAAGTTCTATGTCTTCAGTAAGATCAAATGGTCTTGGGGCCACAGACACAGTTGTGATGTCAGGAAGTACTGAAAGACGGATGAGCACACATTGGGTTTGGTTTTAAGCGGGACCCTCTGGGTCTGAAAAGGAAAGCCAGTGTGAAAGTGCTGTAAACCTGCATTATTTCCAATGGCCAGCAGGGGGCGACTCCACTGGTCGAAAAATTAAGTCCGATTGGTATGTAAGCTTATGAGAAAATGACCCTACATCTCACTTGATTAATTATCTCAGTTAACACTTTCCTAATGAGTTTATGGTCTCAGTTGCTAGTTTCAAGTCTGTGGGCTACAGTTAAGGAGCCACTGGTCTAAAGATTTCCTCTGCTTGACCTCATCAGAGCTATGGAGTGGACCACCTGCTCACATTTGCCAACCTGAAGCAGTTGGGGCTGCTGGTGGAGCAGCAGCCGGGGGAGACACTGACCGTTATGGAGAGCAAAGTGGGCAAACTTGTCAACGACAAAACTGCAGGTGAAACAGGCTTAGTTTTGCATTTTTAACCTCCTCCTGATCACAGTCTCATTTGTTTCTCTCCATGCGCAACAAGCCAGTCAAATTATTTTCTAAATGTTAGACGACAGATTTCAAAATCACATTAAACTGCTCTGATCCTCCGTATTTATTTCCCCACCCCAGGAAAGCTGACTGATGCTTTCTCTTCTCTTGCAAAGAAGAGTAATTTCAGAGCCCTGAGCAGAAAACTCAACCTGGTAAATTTCATTATTACTAATTTGCTGCAAAAGGCATTTTTATCATGTCACAGAATACCATTCAGAATGGTGTTTTGTCCTTACTACAAGGAAAATGCTGTATGTTAGTAAGCGCAGCATCATATTTTGTGTAAAGGTGCCAAAGTCAGATGAAGAATATGACCTGCGTGTCCCACGAGACATGGCTTACATCTTCAGCGGTGCCTACGTCCCTCTGAGCTGCAAACTCATCGAGCAGGTGACTAAATGAGTAGGATTCATTTATACCACAGGATCTGACTTGTCTTGTTTTCTGTGTAGGAAATCAGTGAGACACTATTATGCCATGATGAAACTTTTTTTAATGTTATTCTTGGTGTGGTCATCTGTAGGTGTTGGAGCGAGATGGTTGGACGGGGCTTGAAGAAGTCACCAGGCTGCTAAATGGGCATGAATTTGCTGTTACAGGTTAATGTTGGCTCTCTACAGTTGTCGGATTTCTTTTATATTCCATGTAAACGGCAAATTGGGTATTGGTATTATTGGGGCAGGGTATTGGAGAAACTTGCTCTCCTCAGCTAGATTTCCCCCAGAGAAAGAAAAAAGCTTCCCGCTTGGACGCAGCCAGCTAACGCTACATTAGCTCGGACCTGCCGCTGTTTGCTTCGTAAGTTCGGTCAATTTAGATTTATTGTCGTTTTACCGATCCTCTGGTAAACAGCTTCTCTTCTGTCTCAGTCGCTGTAAATAACATGACCCACATAATTTACAATAGTTCAACATAACAGCAACAACAACACAGAGGATGACCCATCCACTAACGTTACAGTGATGTTACTTACGGCAGTCTAACTGTTATAAAGTGTGACACAATCTCGCTATAGTATTCAGTCCAGGTCCCTAACCGTTTCATTATCATCCAATACAAGTTAGCTGTGCTCACATTGTTCAGCCTCCGGTCAAAGATAGACAAATAGTAAAGTTAGATAGAAAAGTAGCAGGCGAGCTAACGCCGATGGATCATGTCGGCTAAATGAAGTAAATGTAACATTATTATGTAACCAGCATGGATTAGTTGAACCTCAAGCTGATAAAAATATTATAAACGTTGCAGTGGGAGTTTATCTGAGTTTCCAGCATGTTGTGTGAAGCAGTCTCCCTGTCTGTCTGTAGCCACTGTCACACAGCCTTTTTTTCCGGGAGTGTTCTGCCAATATGCGGCTAGCTGCCCTGCACCGCTAGTGGTCGCTGAAAACTCCATAATGCCATTAATGGAACTGGACTTCTTTTTGCAACCAGTGGAGTCGCCCCCTGCTGGCTGTTAGATACAATGCAGGTTTAAGTTACTTCCTCATGGCTTCAAAATTCCTACCCGGAGGTTTCCGCTTGGTCCAAATGCTCTGACAAATAAAATAAATCAGGAAGCAGGACATTATAGCTTTCATCACTACAATACAGTTAAAATAAGTATTGGTCTCACTATAAGGTCGGAGTATGGGGAGAAATGGGATTACTGACCTACTGCATGTGTGCAAGGATTAACAGGAACCAGGTCACTCCAGAGCAAGTAAATGTATTTATCTGATTTGCTGTGTAACCTTGTATCTTCTGTGCATGTAAGCATACTAGCAGCACGAGTAAAGCCTTAGTGTTTTGAATCAATGACTGCTAAGATTTTGTCTCTCATCAGGCAGCAAAGGAGCTGATTTAAGTGCAAAGACAGATGCTCACCGCACCATCCTTGTCATGTTCCTCGGTGGCTGCACCTTTTCTGAGATTTCAGCGCTGCGTTTCCTCGGCAGAGAGAGAGGTAAACATGTTACAGGAGTTTTTCAAGTGTGTATCAGTCATCTAGATCCTCTTGTCTTCATTCTTCATGTTTGTTTTGCTTTTGTTTAGAGTTGTTTCACTTCTGTTATTAGTAGTGTAGAAGAAATTGGCTACATAATTGATATTCATATGGAGGACTGTACTTTTATGGTCAATAATTCCTGACTAGAAAATAATCCCTCAAAGACATGTCATATCATATTCAGCAACATTAGTTAATTTAATTTAAGACTAGAACTTTACACACTGTTGTTTCTTTTTTATGATATAAAGATAAATAGATATTAAATCTACTTATATTCAGTAGCTAAGCTGTGAAGAATGTGTACTGTAGAGTGTGATTGGGGTGTAATAGGGCTGGACAATATGGCCAAAAACGTTATCACCATAAAAAGTTTCATATCTTTCGATATTGATAATTATCACAATAAGTATCAAATTGTTATTTCTTTCGAGTTTAAAGGCTGATTTTTGCTTCTGAGTGAGTTAGTTGAAGAAACCTGATGGTTAATTGTGGTTTAAACTCTTCTTTACGGGCAACACTTGAGGCCAAACGGTGGATAACTTCACAAATCTGAGGTAGAACATTCAAAACAATTATGATAAAATCTTTGTCAACAAATATGCACGAGTAAATTTAAGTAAAAAAAACACAAGTAGAAGCTTTTTCCAAAAAATAATTAATTTGTGTATGTTTCCAGTGAACACAACAATTGTTATATTGTTATTGCGAAAAAATATATCGCGGTAATTATTGTTTTATTGTCCAGCCCTAGGGTGTAACTATATTTTAGTTGTCATAAATGAGCAGTAATGCTTTATTATATGGGTGTGCGATTTCCTAATAAAGCAAAGAAAAGCTCGGTGTCAACCGTCATTACTGGAAACTTTAACGTCCATATATGTCTAATTGTTTGCATTTCTGCACACATTTCTGCATGTTCAGCTAATTTGCTGTTCACTGGCCTCACAGTTTACACTAACAATCAATTGTAATTTATTAACCAGGTTTATCAAATCCATGAAACTACTTGGAAATGAAAGACCCATAGAAAAACACCTCATTGAGAAATGTTTTATGTGGATAAAAATAAGTATTTTAATAAACATTACTGCTTTCTTTTTCCAGGTTATACATTCATTGTGGTAGCAACTGCGATTACAAACAGTTCAAGACTCATCGAGGCTTTGCTGGACAACCATGTTTGAAGCCTGTCAGCACATCATGATGGACAGAAACTGAGACATTCCTACAGCCACTTGTCATGCATTCCCTCCAGCACTGACAGTACAGATGGAAAATGCTCACTAACGGGCTGCGTCTGACAACTAAAGAACTGTAAAGATGTATAAAGTGAATAAATGTCTTTTTTAACACGGTTGTTGTTTGTTTTCCTTCACTGAATTCGAGGTTTGTCCTGCTGTGAATTCTTCTGGAAGTCTAAAATTAACAACAGCGCCATTGTTGTATTAAGCGCTGCTAAGCTACAACACCACACCCTCAATGAAACAGTGGTGTTTGTTTTCATTCATGAGGTGTGCGGCGATAGGCGGTTACCTCTAATATGAAACTGCAAGGGCACCGGCGGCAGGAGATGGTTCGACACAACGTGCGCACCCTCCGCACGAGCCAATCAGACAGCAGAATTTGCTTGTACGCGTATTTTGAACTGAACAAACGGACAGGACTGAGAGCAGAGAGGGAGGCGACGCTCCGCTTGTCTGTCTGACAAGTTTTGGTTGTTTTTAAAACTGTTCACCGATGATCGCAACGTAATCTGGAATTTAACGATGAGAAAGAGGTAAGAGTTTTCTTTTTTCGAGTTTGAACGATGTGTAATAACGGTAGATATTAGCTGGATGGTTAAAAACCCAACTGTTGATAAGATTAGCTAACGTTAACCGAACGCCAACGTCAGTTCACTCAGAGGACTGCATTTTTTTTTTGTGTGTCTATTGTCTTTAGTTTAAATGTTACCAGCGATTTAGTTTTTTTAAATAAACAATTTCTTCATTCATTAACGAGTTGACCATGTCTCCCGCTGTCCCGGTAGCGAGGTGCTCGCAGCAGAGGCGGTGTCGTGCCTCAATAAAGCGCTGTGCCATCTGAAGGACATTTGGGAGGAAATCGGTATCCCCGAGGACCAGAGACTGCAGAGAACTAATGTTGTCAAAAACCACGTTAAGGTAAGACAAATACGGGCATCATCAAGGCTGCAAACTTGTAACCATAATGATACTTCTGATGGCAGTAACCCTGTATCGATCTGTGCGAGATTATCGCTGCCTGTGAACAGGTTTCGGCAGAGGAGGAGGGGGATTTTACTAAAAAAAACACACACCAACGCAGTTAACGTTGGAGTTTGTAGTTTTGGGTTACAAATACTACTTAACGTTATATTCACTAATTTAGATCTTGATGCTGGCTTTTTAAGTTAACGTAAAAAAATTACAATCTGGGACTAAAATATGTATTGATTGGGATATTTTACATCTAATGGCACTGACGTTTCTAGATTAACGTTACCCCAAACGTATATTAGTCACTTGTGTACTGAGATTTTGTCTTGCCAGTGCTGCAAGAAGTACTCTGATCTTTCACTTAAGTAAAAAGTGTAGAATTACTCTGTTACAAGTCCTGTATTAAAAATATGATTTAAGTAAAAGTACTGAAGTCATTAAAATATACTTAAAGTACCAAAGTAAAAGTGCTCACACAGAATGACCATAAAGTAACTTAGAATAAAATGGAAATTCTCAAATAAAGTACAAGTACTTGAGTAAATGTACTTTTTACATTCCACCACTGCTTCTTGCATTTCAGCTGTCGCGTATGTTGATACCGGGATACTCAGGCACTAATGTTCACTATTGATTTATTTGAGAATTACCCCAGGAATGTCGATAACAGCTTTCTTCATCACTAGTCAGAATAGGGCTGGACGATATTGACAAAAATGTTATCACGATAAAAGGTCATGTCTTTCGATATCAATAATTATCACGATAAGTATCAAATCGTTATTTCTTTCGAGTTTGAAGCCAGATTTTTGCTCCTGAGTGATAGTTGAAGAAACCTGATGGTTAATTGTGGTTTAAACTTTTATTTATAGTCAACAATTGATGCTTCACAAATCTGAGGTAGAACATTCAAAACGGTTATGATATGAATCTTTGTCAACAAATACGCATGAGTAAAATGAAGAAAAAGCTTTTTTTCAGTCCTTTTTCCTCCAACAAAATTCGTGTACGTTTCAAGAGAATAAAATCAAACATTTACTGAATATTTATTGAACATATATAGTAATTGAAAAAAATATATTGCGATAATTATTGTTGTTGTTTTTTTGTCCAGCCCTAAGTGAGAAGAGCACAATCTTCTGTCCGCGGATGAAGTTGAACATGTAGAGAGTTCTATTTGTGGTATCCTCCACCTAATGCGCATTCATGTTATCAGCATTGTGACTAATATCAAAGTAGTGGCTCATTTATCACACAGCTGTGATGTGTGCATTATTCATCAGTTAACTACAAGTGCTTACATTTGTCTTTGCATTACTCCAGCCAACAGGCTCATGGTTCCCATGAGTCCCGGAAAACCGTTGACCAATTTCCCAGTCATGGAAATTTGATCTTTACAAACACTTGTTTTCACTTGAGGCAACAGTGTGACAGTGTTTTACAAGGAAGCTTCCAATATACAAACTGCTGGATGGAAAGCTGCTAGGAAAAAAAAGTTTTAATACTGTTATGCAACAATTAACATTTCATGTTTTCTGCAGTTGAGTTGAAGTACTTTGCCTGCTTACACTCAAGGAGATATGCGCAGTGTTGTGTGTGTTTAATAAACTAGGACAGGTTCAAATGAAGAAGCATTTTTAGACATCTGGATCTGCACCAAGGACCAGTATTACTGAATAATAGGTCCACTCTGTGGATGAAATGAAATGGAAAGAAATTTATAGACATCTGTATCCATATTGGCCAAAATGACCATCGGAATTATCTGGATGCTGGATATTTGCTAAGAATTTCGACATGTACACACATCTATCTGCATAATGTTACATTTTATTGTATTTATCCACCAGAGCTTACTAGATATGATGATCAAAGAAGAGGAATCTCTGAAAAAGAGGCTCATAAGCAGCCTTCAAACATGCAGGACAGAAATGGAAAAACTCTGCCTGGAACTTCAGCTACCTGTGTTTGAGGTAAAAACCTTAAGATTTTCAGTGTTGGATTTAATGCTTCACTGGATTTAATCCAAACCTTTGACTTTGTTTTTATCTTCTCTGTGTGTTCAGGAGGAGAATGGTATCAGCATGCTCCAGCAAGAGAAGAACATCCGCACACAGGTGGAGGCTCTGGTGACCGAGAAGGCTCAGCGGAGGCAGCAGCTGAAGGTTCTGCTGGAGCAGGACCAGGACCTGTGCGACATCCTGTGCGCCATCCCTTATGGCATTGCTCCAGACTGTGTCCCCTCACTGGAACAACTGGAGAGCTTCAGCCAGCACATCATTAATCAGAATGCAGAAAAGGTGGACGCTCGCTTTGTCACATCTGCCTCCCAATTTGGTTACTGCACGAGTAGAAGAGCTGTGTTTCTTCCAGGGCTATAGGTTATACTGTAGGTTGTTGCAGATGTGCACAAAATGCAGAGACCATATTAGGAAAACGTGTGGTTGTGCAATACGTTAATCTTCTGTGTTTTATATTGTCATCATTAGATGAAATCCTCGTGTTGGCAATTTAGTTTTGACTTAAAGAGAGTATGTGTTCCTCTGGGTTGATGAAATTCAAATCCTCCCTTCATATGGACCCTTTTCAAAAGCAAAAAGATGTTTGGTTGAAAGTAGTCTTCTAAATGAAAACATTTAGGCCACTGGGACAGTAATCACATCACTTTAGGATTAAAATACCTCATAATCTTGCACCAAATGCTCGCAGGTCAAAGGATGAAAAGTGTAGGCTGGACTTCCCCAAAGTCTGTTGTTCTGTAGGTGACTTAATGGTGTGCTGCTTCCATGTTTTCAGGCGAGGCGGTATGCTGAGTTCACGGACCTCAAAAAGCAGATAATCTTGTACATGGAAGAGCTGGACCGCATCCCAGAGACCAGCTTCGAGAAGGACGTCATCTGTGAGGATGAGGACGCTTTCTGCCTGTCCAGAGACAATATTACGTCACTCAAACTGCTTCTTTGTCAGGTAAAAAGGGGTTTTATACAGTAACACAGCCCTTTATGGATAAAGGAAAGTCATTTTCACTAGAAATTATAATCAGGCCTTTAAAGTCGACTGGCTGATGTTTTACTACTTAGAAAAGTCTTGGACAGACGTGATGCAAGCAATCGAGTTGGTAACTGTTGCTACTTCGTGTCATGTTGATTGTGCAGTTGGAGGAGCACAAGACAAAGAATGAGGCGATGTGTGAGGATCACCGAGAGAAGATCCAGCAGCTGTGGGACAGACTGCAGGTGCCTCAGGAGGAGAGAGAGGCCTTCGATGAACACATGGTCACATCCAAGAAGAGGAACTTGGAAGCGGTAAGAAGATTTGAGTGTCCTGTGTGCCGCTGACTTCCTTCATCCATTTTTATTAAATTTTTTTCTCCAGTATTCATGGTCAGCTAGGACTGCTATTTTCTCTTCAGTTTACACTTCTTTTTTTTTTCCCTCAGTTACAAGCAGAAGTTCAGCGTCTGCAGGAGCTCAAACTGCTAAACATCTGCAATGTCACCGACGCCATCCGCTCCGAGATCTCTGTGTTTTGGGAAAAGTGCTTCTTCAGCGCAGACCAGCGGCAGGCTTTTGCTCCATATTTTAGCAGTAAGTTGTTTGACATTTTAGCTGTCTTAATCAAAATAATATTGGACTTGAAAAAAAATGCTAAGACTCTAATTGACTGTTTTTTAGATGATTTTACTGAAGAGCTGTTGAGTCTACATGATGCTGAGATCCAACGCTTGAAGCAGCATTATGAGGATCATAAGGAGCTGTTTGACGGGGTTCACCAATGGGAAGAAAGCTGGAGACTCTTCCTAGAGCTGGAGGTGAGTCCACTTTGACAGGGAAAGGAAACTACCAAAATCCAGTGTAGCAACAACACTTTCCTTTCCACATCTGAAGCTGTGGTAGTGGGACTAAACCAGATCTGCTAAGATTTTAAAGATCCTTACCAGCCTCTTGAGCCCCGATGCCCCCTGTACCGGGGGCAGCATGCGATTTTCACGCAAAATGCAAATGAGAAATTCATGTCTGAAAGTTGTATTGCATCACCCTATACGTGCTACACACCTCTGTGAAGCTAGGAGGCTCAGCTAGAAGCTCAAACCAAACATTTTTCTGTGAAAAAAGTTCAATATTCACTGCCAGTCTATTTTTGACGGAAGCCACGTCAAGCAGCATGAAACCGGGCAGGAAGTCAGACACAGAACGGCATAGTGAATCCGGTCGATTTTCAAAATGAAACACCCTTTGCAGTAGGGCTGGGCAATATAACTGATTATTAGCGCACTATCATTTTTCTTAATAACTTATAACAAATGTTCGGTTTATTGTCAATAAATGTTTGATTTAATTCATTTGAATAACTAATGAATTTGCACTTAATTTTTCTACTAAAATATTTATTTTGTTGAGGAAAGGGGACTGAAAACATTTTTACTAATTATAATTAATAATTAATAATAATTAATTAATAAATATAATGTTCTACCTCAGATTTGTGAAGTGATCCACTGTTTGGCATCAAGTGTTCTGACGCAATTAACCATCTGATTTCTTCATCTTTTCACCTAGGAGCAAAAATCAGCCTTTAAACTTAAAAGAAATAATGATTTGACATATGTTCTGATAATATTAGCCTGCACAGAGCGTAACAGAACTGGCTCTCAGAAAGTTGTTATCCATAGTTGAAGTGCACAAAATGACACATTAACGTGTAGGCTAAAGGCTCCGCTGCTGAAACACTTCAGTGTGAGTTGACATTGCCATTATCCCACATTTTCCTGTAGTTTCGTTTGTTGTTGTAAAATGTACACGCCCTGTGCTCGCTCTGATTGGTGAGTAGGACTGTAACAGGAGGCGCATGGAGCTTGCGCATGAATTTTTAACTGCATGACTGTTTAAAACCGGTCAGATGTGCTGTATATAAAGTTAAGACAGATGATGAATTTATACATGCGGCAGTAGTCTGAATTCTTTTGAAATTCCATGTTCCATGTGATTGAATTTTACAAGCAGTCAGCTAGAAACAGTCTCTGTCATCCAGATGTGAACACCTTTTTAAAACTAGAGCTGCAACGATTAATCGACTAGTTGTCAACTATTAAATTCATCGCCAACTAAAATGTAAATTGCTGGTTTCATTACTCCTCTATGACAGAATATCTTAGGGTTGTGGACAAAACAAGTAATTGGAGGACATCTTCTTTGCCTGTGGGAAACCGTGATCAACATTTCTAACAATTTTCTGACACTTATAGACGAAACAACTGAAATGACAATGAAAATAATTGTTAGTTGCAGACCTATTTAAAACCCAGACTATATCCTTACACCCGTGAATTTATATATTTTACCTGGTTACACTGCTGCAGGTGGGAAGAAACTGTTTTATTAAGGTCGTCTCTTTCACAGAAAAAAGCCACAGATCCGACAAGATTCACTAACAGAGGAGGGAATCTTCTCAAAGAGGAGAAACAGAGGTCTGAGCTGCATAAAAGCCTGCCTAAGGTAAGAGATGGAGCTATTATTTTCTTAACGGAAAATATATTGTAACAGTTCGCAAGCATTTGACAGTAACTCAGCGTCATGTCTGTGTTTGTATTTAAGCTCGAAAAGAAGTTAAAAGCTCAGATTGATGCATGGGAAAGTGAACAAGGTCGGGAGTTTCTAGTAAATGGCCAGAAGTTTCTGCAATATGTGGAGGAACAGTGGGAGCTGCACCGAATAGAGAAAGAGAAGGAGAAACAAGAAAGGGTAAACAAGCTGCTTTATTATGTTTTAGGCTTAGCCTCTATGTTTTGCTGGGAAATGTGTTGACAGTTGTCTTTACAAACAGCATCTGAAGAAGAGCAAACAGACAGAGGAAGATATGCTGTACGGAACAGCAGTACGAACCCCTACCAAACGCCGACTTCTGGGCACTACTACACCAAATAAATCACGAAAGGTGGTAAACCCAGTTTGTGGCTCACTTTTACAGTCATGTTATAAATCCTTGCCTTAATACAAATTTAGTCTCTTTAGTCATCTGACTCTATCAGCACTAACACACTCCCTCTGCCTCTCATCAGTTTAACGGGACTTCCAGCATTTCTAGCGCCACCTCTAACAGCACCATGCGCTCTGCCTATGGTGGAACTGTCTGTCGCTCACCTGTGCCCCGCCCACCTCTCTCAGCAAACAAGGTTGGTTTCATTTTCTAGTTGAAGGAAGTAGAAGTTATACACACATCAACCTATAGAAAAAGAAAAAGAATCTGCATGTTTCAGTTCAAACTCCCAGCTAGCTTTCTAGAAAACAACATTTAGACTCGCAAGATCTTAATCAGACTGCAAACCTGTGAATGAAAAGGGGGGGATATTAAGTCAGATAGACAACTGACTTCATGGTAAAATTTGGCCTAATTGCATAGAATTGTGTAACACTGCATAAAGTTAATTTAACTGTTATGTCTTCATATGTAGTATGTTTGAATTCAAATATACTCCGTGACAAATGCTTGATTTTCAACATAATCTGGTGTTTCATCACAACAGTTAATCACATCAGCTCATGGAAACCAAAAGAAACGACCCTGTCGTCATATTTGTTTGGCATATTTTACATATTTTTCTGTTGTCGAAGTTGGCAAACATGAAGTAACCATGATCCAAACAAATCTTTTCAAATCATTAATCAAAGTTAATCTGAAATCCATATTAATATACAGTATTAAAATCAAAGTTAATATGAAATAAATCAAAAAATTTAGATGTGATGATAAAGGCTTTGAGAGAAATATTATGTTGCTTCCTTGAAAGTGTTTGGAATGTGCTTGAATTTGACTGCTGAGTGTGAAATAGTAAATGTTATTTCTTGCTTGTTGCACTTGACTCTTGAGTGATGTGGGGCTGTTGCTTTCTACCTTGATTTGGTTCTTTATCCATTTAAATCTAAAATTTGCTGTACTGTGTTCTTAAAGAGGATATTTGGTCTGATGTGTCCTCTAGTGTCCAGCAGCTCGGACACCGGGTGGTGGAAAACCTCCCCACTCACGCCTGCAAGGCTGTAACAAGGAGAATGAGGCTCAGCTGAAGGGGACCCCTCTGAGTGGTGCGTTGCTGACCCCCGCTACTCCACAGCGTAACTTCAGCATAACCTCTGTTGCCAGCACATATTCAGAGTTTGTGGTAATTTACACCTTTGTCTCTAAACTATTTTCTCCAGATCTTTTTCCTCATTTCTGCGCAATAACACATTTAAGTGTACTGTAGAACTTTCTGATGTACGAATGCTAATGATGTAAATTTATATTGTAGAGGGACTTGGTCAACCCTGAATCTGTTCAGTCAAGGTGTGTTTGAAACCCTAAAACCTTGTGTAATTCGGACTAATCCCCTTTTAATTTGCAGTAATTGCATGCCTCTAATCAAAGAGAAAATTACTGTTGACGAGCAACATAACGTGCTGAACATGGACACTTAGCAGGTATAAATTATTACTGCGTTAAAAATATGCGGGGGGGGTTCCCAGACAAAGTAACTCGAACTACATTTATGTATATAACAGCAAAATTTCTAACCAGTTTTGGGGTAGGTAGGAATCACTAAGTAAAAGTACTCTGTAGGTACAGGAAAAATAGGTACATAGAAATCAAATGTCAACTAGGGCTGAAACGATTCATCGATTAAATCGATTAATAAAATGCCTTCGTTTAATCCATATAACTATGAAGCACACTGGTTCACATGGACATTTATTACTGTCGTACATCGCGCTTACGCTGGGAACAGGATGTAATTATGCTGGCGCTATTTACAAAGTGGAGGAAGAGAGAGAAAATAGCGAGGGACAAAGAAGAAAGTGTCCAAAGTATGGGATTATTTCAAGCCAAAAGAAAACAACTCTGTAATGTTACAGTCCGTCCACCGTAAAAGACAACTTATGTCGCCTCGGCAACAGCACGACGGCACCTGATCAGAAAGCAGCCGGTGTTCTGCCAGCGACCACAGACAAGGTAACTGTAACTTTAGCATTTAACTGAAATCATGATTGATTGTTGCGCTGAAGCCAAAGTAAGCCGCAGTCCTCAGCTGAAAATGTGCACACGTGCGTTTGTTGTTCTCCTTTTCTCTGTGAGTTGTAACCTCACAGTCAAGAGTTAACCGGGTGTCGGGGAGCTGCACCTTTTAACTCCCCTGCAGCTCTCTGTAGCTCAGACAATCCCTGCTACCTGCGTGTGCTAGTCCAGCCTTTCACCCAGATTCTTTGTCTTTATAATCGCCATCTTCATGATAACAACCAACAGCTGTTTCGTGTGCAGGATCGCTCATTTCACGTTTCACATTTCACGTGTGTTTTCTTGATAAAAGTGGTTTGGAGACCAGCGTCAGGTGACAGAGTCGCTGTCAGCTCGTGTAGTGTCAGTCACGTAGTGTGAACGCCACAACGACTTCAAGACTCCCGTCACATGATGGCAAGTTGTGTCGTGTGAAAATCCTGTAGTCTGCGTGAGCCTTTATGTGATGTTTGTTACCGGGGGTGGGGGGCGTGCCACCGCCAAGCAAAGTACTTCTTAAACGACGCATCGATGAATCGTGGAAATAATCTATAGAAGCTTTGAATACTAAAATCATTGTTAGCTGCAGCCCTAATGTCAACACCTAAAGAAAAATTAAAATGGCTTGATGCGAATAACTTAATGATATGTTTAATTGAAAGGAATCACTCGTGCATCAGTCCGTCCGTCTGATTATCTTCTGTCTAATTCACACTAACAACCTTCAGTGTGTCATTTCATAATAATTAGAAACTGTTAAGCTCCTGTTTATTGATGGCAAGTTTGCTTCTTAGTGTCCTCTTCCTCGTATTGTCACATTACATACGAGGAATCAAACTTAACGGCTGCTTTCTTGTTTCCACAGCGAGACCTGTCAAAGGCCACCAACACCAAGATCCAGCACGACGTCCTGAACTCCACCACCACAAACCTTTGACCTCTCCACTCTGACGGTGACTGCAACGGCTATCACATGGTAGCCCTTTCAACGACGTTCTAATCTCTAAAACAGATCACTACTTTGCCCTGCTATCTGTTTTTACTTGTAAATGAAGGTAATAATATATTCAGTTTTAAGCCCGTGATAAACAAGGAATCTGTTGTCAGTTGTTGAGCGTGTTGTCTTCAGCATTGGCGAATCTTTGCCCGGTCTATCACTGTCTGTAAGAGAAGAAATGTGTTTGTATCCTAAGTTAAACAAACACTACTTTGGCTCTCTCAGTTTTGTCAGTTATTGAGATGTGACAAATGTCTGCATCTTGTACTGCACTTTTTTTTTAGAAAGAGAAACAAAAGAAGGTTTCTGAAGTTATGCAATCTGGGGTTACAGGCCAAATGTATTATGAATACTGTGCACTTTTTTTAGAAAATATATACCCGCGCATAGTGTAATTTTACACACACTGACTGTTCCATCCAAATCTGTTTTTATTCATGCATTTGTATATATTTCTGTATCTGCTGTTCTCTTCACATAAACTCCGCTGTTTGACAAAGATGTTAGTTAGTTTAAACAGGCCGTTAAGGCCTTTAGTTAAAGTATGTTGTATATTGGTGCTGTATAAATGAAATATACCTGAATCACATCGATTCATTACACTATCATGGCTGATTTGGAAAAGCTTGTCAAAATAAAATAAATGCATTTTCACTAATTTCTTTAAGATGGGACAAAGATTTAGTTTTTCATTTTTGTTCTAGCCCCAAACTTGTGTTGTACACAACAACATACACATTCACCTGTTTTCACGTAAGAATAGTTTTCAAATTTGCCACAGAGAATTAGCAAATACTGTTGAGCTTTAAGATACTACAGTATCTTTGAAAGTCCGTACTCCAGCTTGTTTTTCAGAATTTTGACCAATTCAGCCTCATCAACACATTTGTTTGAAGTTTGTCAGATGTGAATGAATCTTGTGCCACAGTGTAGACAGATTTCACAATCAAACATGTTGCTTCATGGTGTTTTATCTGTTCTGGTTTCACAAACTTTATATTAGAGATACCTGACTTATATTTTACTATAGTATTTTTGGCTCAGCTGTAGCCATGAGAAATATAGCCAAAAGAACGTGAGAGATGGCATGGATTATAAATAACTTTCAGTAGATCAACCTCTGACCTTAGTGTCAGCAGATTCCTCTATGATTCCTCTGATTGAAGGCCTTAATGATTTACCTATCGGACTGTGATAAGTCTTGTACGCAAGCTAAAGAAGAGTGGTTCATCTCTAAACTAAAGCTAAATACTAATCAGTGCAGGGGTTCAAATGCAATATTACTGAAATCACTAATGGGAATCAACATTTTCACCAGATCTGAAAACTGAACCTACACTTTAACAACTGAGTTCAGTCATGACAACAGCTGCAAGTTAAACTATCAACTGTAGTAACAAACAGCTGAAGGTTGAGTTGAGGTTAGCTTACAAGACAGGCCACTGTTAACTAAATAACATTTATGTAAACTGCTTGTCAGTGTTCATTAAACATCAGTGGATATGAATAGATGGTATCTGACTTTGTCTCATTAGGTTTTGAATTTGTTGTGAAATAACAATCAGATTTCTGTCTGCTTTTACTGTCTTGTTACTCGCTCAACCGGCTGCCAGACTAGCCTTCATTCTTCAGTGTATTTTTACACACCTGGCTGTCTTTCATTGGTCTGTCTCAAAAGCTAAAGGTTGTGAGGTTTTCTGGCTATACAGCACATTTCAAACACAGACAAGTTAAAGAAAAGCATTAGAAGGACATTCAAAACCAATAAGCAATAAAAATCAAGTAACCCTCTACTGCACGGCGTTGCCCTCAGGCAACGAAATAGTTTTGTGGCTTTTTTTTATTTGTAGTTGTAGTTTTGGTTTTGTCGCCTCAGGGCAATGTTATGCAATCAGGCTAGTTTTCATTCTCATTCAAATCCTGCATTGCTTAGGGGGGGCAAGTGTAGAAGTAAAGAGGCCAGATTGTTCTCTGTGGGGGGGTTATGTGTTTTTTTAAAATTGGAAATGTATACAAACCTCTTTTGGATCAGTACATAACTGATGGGAGGTCGTGTCCCTCAGCAGCAAGAGTTCTCACCTCCACCAGGCGTTCTGCTCACATTACTCCGGTGGTTCATGACCTTCACCGGCTACCCGTGGCATCGCGTATCCACTTTAAGGTATTGCTTCTAAAATTTCAGGCATTAAATGGTCTTGCACCCCCATATTTGTCTGATCTACTTTTCACCTACCGCCCTGCACGGTCTCTCAGATCAACTAAACTTGGTTTATTGTCCATCCCTCGTTTCCGGTTGTCTACAGTAGGTGGAAGGTCATTTAGTGTTAATGCTCCAAAATGATGGAATTCACTGCCCCTTTCACTTAGAAATATTTCACCTGTGGCTACATTCAAAACACAGTTAAAAACATATCTATTTATAATAATAATCTTTATTTGTAGGGCACTTTTCAAAAACAAGTTACAAAGTGCTTTAACAAGTGTAAAGACAATAATACCCAAGAGACAATAATACAAAAACAATACAAGATAAAAGCATGAAAACATTGAAAAGACTAAAATACATTTTAAGATAAATATAAAATTAGTAAAATACAATAAAATAAAAGGGATAAAATAAAGTCAAATAAGATCGGGAAAGTTTTAAGAAGGGACTTAAAAGAGTTCACTGAGTCAGCCGACCTGATTTCCTCGGGCAGGCTGTTCCAGAGCCTCGGGGCCCTGACAGCAAACGCTCTGTCCCCTTTAGTTTTCAGTCGAGACTCTGGAACAGACAACAGACCTCTGCCCGAGGATCTCAAGGTACGTGCTGGTGCGTATGGGACTAAAAGGTCAGAAATATAACAAGGCGAGAGGCCATGAAGAGCTTTAAAAGTGATCAATAAAATTTTAAAGTCAATTCTAAAACATACTGGGAGCCAGTGCTAAAATAGGAGTAATGTGGTCATATTTCTTTGTTCTGGTTAAAAGTTATTGTTATTTAACATGTATTTCGTTTAAATGGGACTATATGTATCCTATATGATTGTAAGTTGTGTGTTAGTGTGTAAATGTACCATGTAAAGCGACCTTGAGCTCTGGAAAGGCGCTATATAAATAAAACTTCTTTTTCTTCTTCTTCTTCTTCTTCTTCTTCTCCCCATGGTGTTTGCCCTCCAACCTCGACATCAATTAAGTAACCTGGATGGTTAGCACATAAATAGAGGGAACAAAAAAAAAAACACTACCTTAACAGTGTAATGCAATACAAATGAAAAGACCAGGCATACATTTAGAGTGCAGTTGCATTGCAGTAATAAGACCTCAAAATGCAACAAAGTAAATAAAATAGTGGCTGTGTTTAACTTCAGGATTGCTAAGTGCCTTTCTGGGTCACAGACTTTGTGGATTGCGCGGACTTTACTGTGAAGGATTCATGCCGGAAGTCGTGTTGTTACCGGAAAAGCCTGCCGAAGGAGGAACTTCATGACACATCCACAGAAGAAGCAACACGCGCTGACCGTCCCTGCGCACACTAACATTGTGTAGCAATGTAATGAACAGCTGCCCGACTTTGAAAGCTCCGTTTTTATATAATTTATTTTGAATAGCTCAGCCATGTCCGGAGCGTTAGCAAGGCTGCTCTTCTACCCGACTCTAGCCTACAATGTTGTGATGGAGAAGGTGACGTCGAGACGGTGGTTTGACAGAGTGGACGAGACCGTGATCCTCGGAGCGCTGCCCTTCAGATCCATGACCGCACAGGTCAGACTGCCAAACAAAATAGCCTCTGTATCTAACGATGGACCAAGCCCACAGTATGTTTCTCTCATGTCAAAGCCTAGAATTAAATTAACTAGGAAAGGAGGAAGTTTTTAGAGCAGCTGTTGTGAGACTGTGTACTGATGATGATGTTGACCAGTGACTCTCTCTCTCTCTCTCTCTCTCTGTGGTGTTTTTCCTGTTGTATTTTTTTACCAGGGGAAACAGAACCATAAGAGAACTCAAAATAATGAGATATTAAGCCATGAGTATGAGATCACATTTAAAGTAGTTAACAGAAGTAAGCAGTAAATATTTTAAATATATATTATTTTTCAGCTTCTAAACATGATATTTTATAATTATGACTTATTTTACATTTAATAATTTTGACCCACCCATGAGTATGTCTGTTGTATTTCCTTTACTTTGGTGAAGCGAACACAAAAAGGTGACACTGCATTTTTAAACGAATGTACTGTCTTTTACAGCCCTTTCCCCCCTGCATCTTTTTACAGTATATTTCGTGGTCACACTTTATGTTTCACGGGTCTCCTTTGGGTATTACTTTAATAAAATTCTCAGTTGTTAATGTTGTTTGGATTCCCTGTAGTGCTGAAATTGTAGCCCAGACCCAAATCTTAAATGCATACAACTCACAAAACGTATTTATTTATTTCAAGCAAAATAGTGTGACAACAGAAAAGATACACAATAATAATAACTTATACACTTATGCTTGAAATGGAGTGGGAAGAAGTAAAACTTATTAAACCCCACCCCAGTCTATCAAAGAATTTATACATACAAAAAATAGCTGCTTCCTTCATCAATAATCTCAAAGAAAAAATATTAATAATTAAAAATAATACCTCATTTAGAAACAGTGGATGCACAAGTCAAAACCACACATTCATACCATACATATAATATAATAATATACAAATATTTCCACAGGTAACAATGCTTATCAAATACCAACAATGGTAAATGGAATACCACAAGAGTACATAATGACGAACAACTACCAACAATGGTAGACGGAATACCACAAGGGTAAATAAATGACAACTAATCCAACAATCTACACAACATGAATACAATCAAACCTCATTGTCATTGTAATGTAACCAGACCTTTCTGGTTGGGACCTTTTTGTAAAGACGTTTGAAATTGTGATGCCTTGACATACATACAAGTCTGGTAGCTGCTCAGAATGCACAGTATCCTGCAAGTCCTAAAGCTGACTGTATATTATAAGTAGTCATTGTAATGTCCAAATCTTACATTTGGACGATATTAAATTGTTCACATATCAAATGTTTCGAGGTTCCCATTTCTTGTGTTGCAGCTGGTGGAAGAAGAAAATGTTCGAGGGGTTATCACCATGAATGAGATGTTTGAGACCAAATATTTCTGTAACTCAGCTGAGGTGAGTTCACTTCACATTCCACTCTTAAGTTTGAAGTTCAACCAGGCAGACATACTGTGTGAAAATTCAAACGTTATACAGCAACACTGCAGCAATTAGTTGTTTGTCTCAATTATTGCGATGTGACTGACAAACTAGACTAGCGAGTTTGTCACTTCTTTAGAAATATAACAGTATTGATAAAGTAAAAGACAAGAAATCAGCCAGTTTTAAAGTGTCAATTTTACTGTTTCCTTCACCCACATATCATCCAAGTGTTTATTTCTGATTATGTCAGGTGATATAAATCAGCTGATTTACAGGTGATTGGATTATAGCATTGATTAGCCATTCAACAATTGATTGTTAAAGTAGTTTCTTTTGCATTAATCAACAAAATAAATCACCAGATAAATTGATAATTGTTACATTCACCCTTAGATTGGTTTAACACTTCCATTGGGGCAGGACATGACAATTGTACACCTCAGGCCTCTTCCTCTACAAATTCCAGTCATTCTTAAATGACAAGTTGATTTGATGTGCTTGATGCTGGCTGCAGGAGTGGCGGGCTGCAGGGGTGGTGCAGCTTAGGTTGAGCACCGTTGACCTCACCGGCGTTCCCAGCCTGGAGAACCTGCACCGAGGCGTGGAGTTTGCCCTGCAACACCGAGAGCAGGGAACCAGCGTGTACGTCCACTGCAAGGCTGGACGCTCCCGCAGCGCTACGCTGGCTGCTGCATACCTCATTCGGGTCAGTACACAACTGGGGTCTTGTTCGTCCCCTGCTGTTTGTCCTCCAACCTTAATCAGTTAGAGTAGATGTTAGCACATAAACTGAGGGGACAGACAAATACCACTTTAACAGTGTAATGAAATATGTTGGTTGTACAAAAAGGACTACATGTACTGTTCACCAATATGAATGTAAAGTTAACAGCTTCCACTCAAAGTCATTGTTTCATTTCAACGTCAATGGTGACAGTAAAAATGGTATCAAGATAAAGAAGATTCCGCAATTTTTCAAAGTGATTAATCAATACTGATTACTGATTCTACTGGTCCCATCTATCTATTCAGTCACACAGTGAGTAGCACTTTTGCAGTGTGGCTGCACACAATGTTGACTTTGCTTTTTTCTGCTGACAGTTACACTGCTGGACTCCAGAGGAAGCCTGTCAGAAGCTGGCGTCCGTTCGACCGCACATCCTGGTGCGCTCCGCTCAGCTGGACATGCTGAGGAAATACTACCAGCAGGTGTGTGAACCGTCCAGCTGAGAACGCAGGGCGGCCGCTCAGACCTCATTATGTTCCTACAGCAGCTGGAAGACTGGACTCAGAGCTCCGTACAATCCTCCATGTCAGAATGTTTACCCACAGAAAATAAATACCAAACTATTTGTTTTTCCCCTCTACATTTCTAAATTAAATTCTCATGAGTTTTCTGGAAAATGGCAATGTTTCTGTAGTTAATTCACAACATATAAGTTTAGATTTATGTTAAAAGAAATGTAAACAAAATCTCATCCTGTCATCTTGGTTCAGCCAAAAGCAGTTTCAAGCAAGACAACATTGCCATACTGTTTGACCATAATAATAAACACTTTTATTAATCAAATTGCAGTGTGCTTGTTGCGTTAGGACTGCAGTGGCACAACAAGACGAGAACATTTTAGTGCTTAATTCAGCAGTTTATTTCAATTTCTCATGTTCCCCTATGGTGCCTCATAACTTTAAATAACTAAATAAATTACTCACAGTGATGTTAAATAAATATTAATGAGAAAACTTGTCTAGTAGTGTTATGCTCCTTTATTTAAAGTAATGTAGGTATTACTGGCAAATACAGTATGTGCGTGGAATCTGCCAGCACTGCTGTTTCATATGCAATAAGCTGAACCACATCAGTTTTAGCTAGAGCTGAAGAGGAACTAAGTACAACAAAAGTATTTGCCTTCTCACCAAGCTGCTTGCCTAATGTCCTGTAGCTCATCCCAGCCTTGTGCAAGTCTACAATTTTATCCCTGATGTCCTTACACAGCTCTCTGGTCTTGGCCATTGTGGAAAGGTTGGAGTCTGTTTGAGTGTGTGTGTGTGTGGACAGGTGTCTTTTATACAGGTAACGAGTTAATACGGGTAATGAGTGGAGAACAGGAGGGCTTCTTAAAGAAGAACTAACAGGTCTGTGAGAGCCGGATTTCTTACTGGTTCGTAGGTGATCAAATACTTTTTGATCTTTGTTTTAGATTTTGTCACATTTGAAGTGTACCTATGATCAAAATTACAAACCTCTACATGCTTTGTAAGTAGGAAAACGTGCAGAATCAGCAGTGTATCAAATACTTGTTCTCCCCACTGTATATAAAGTACGATTCTGTATTATAAACAAAATTACCCATAAGTATCTAAAGCATTTAAAACGAGCTCCACCTCAACTAAGTAGCATGTAGCTGCAGTACAAGAGACTGCATTTTCAGGACCAGAACCGGTTTATAGCCTCAACTGGCTATAACACTGAAGTGCTGTTCACATGTTAATGACGCTCTAATAATGACATTAATAGAATGATACAACATAAACCAGGCCCATAGTGACAAACGAATGCTTTTACTTTTGATACTTTGAGTACATTTTGCTGAAAATACTTTTACTTAGTTCATATGTTCATAATACTATACGACAGTTTTATTTGGGGATTTACAGTAATTCTGACTGTGTTGGTGTCAGTTGATGTAAAAAATAATGTGAGGCACTCCACCAGTCTAGAGGGATGTGGATGAACTTGAGGTGGCGATGGCATTTCAAGGGGAAATATTTTATTTAATGCAGGGGCCCACCGATCTCTCTCTTAACTCACATTAACCCCAGTTTGTGCCTCTCATGTACCATCAACAAGGCAGGGTTACCAACAGGCCGGGGTCACTACAGCTAAATGGGCCCCAAAAGCTCAACGCTGACTGTGAGTCAGTTGGTTTATTCTAGTGTGTTGTGTGAGTGTGGATTGTTAAAGCACAGTTTCAAATGGGGCAGGATAAGGTCCTTAAGATATCGCAGGTAAAGCTGCCCATTCAAGTCACAGAGCTAAGCATCTGTTTTTATGAAAGATAAATCCCAGATGATCTTTAAAGCCATAGAAGGTAATGTAACAACACTTAAACCTATCCAACGAAGGTTAAAATCAAGGGCGACTGGACTTGGTGGAAGATACTGAAAGACGTTTCGTCCCTCATCCGAAGGACTTCTTCAGTTCTGACTGACTGGCAGGGAAACTCAGCTATTTAACCTCAGTGGGGTCGTTATCCCGGGTCATCGATACCGCTGGTTCGTTAGTGTCGAACCAGTGGTATCGATGGGTGACTGAGAATCTTCATAGACAACACTTAAACCTGTTGTATTGAGTTCTTAGACTCGTCTAAACATCTGGAAAAATACATATTTACTCTATCCGCTGCATGACTAGATTTGTATGACATGAACCAAAAAGTGATTAAAGTTGTGTAAGTTATTTTTTGTCTACATTAATGTTATTTCATACCTCAATTATGTTTTCTTTAAGAGGGTGTCATCAGGTAATGTGTACTTCTCCTCCGGCCCGTCAGGAGGCGACACACCGGTAACAGCCGCGTCTCTGCCCGAAGAAGAGCGGCCACAGAGCAGACATGGCGGCGTCGTTGCTACGGCTTGTCCGCGGAGGTCTTGGAAAGAGTTTTAACGGTAAGTTATGAGTCGAAACGCGTTTGAGCTTGTACACGACGTTTGCTGCAGGAATCCGTTTGAGTAGGTGTGCCTTTGCTTGGCAATGAAAACTACACGGTGTCATTTTTCAACCGATAAAATGTCTGAGGTTTGACCTTCGAGCTAGCCAATGCTAGCAAAACGTTACCCTGCAAGGAGCCGAGTAACAGGCACGATGGGAAGCTTATGTTGTAAATGTGACAGACTCAGACGTGTTCTGAGTGGATGTGGGACGAGTCTTTGCTTGTTATTGTTCTGCACATTACACCAGTTCCTCTGCAGCTCTGTAGACACTTGTCATGTGATGCTATAACGTTACGTGGTTGTGTCCTGTTGTCCTGCTGCTGTCTTTAACATTTCCTCTAACTATTGCAATGGCTGTAACGTTTTTATTCTTTCATTTGTTTTTTTGGTGTCTTTGTGCCTGTTTTTTTCTTTTCTTTAAAGTTTGTAGTCGTTCTGTATCTTCTATTTGTTTATGTTATTGTATTTAATCCCATTCCCTGGAGGCCTTTTGTCTCCTGCCACGTTATTGTAAATAAGAACCTAATATTAATTAACTTGCCTGTTAAAATAAAGGTGTAGGCTTATATTGTAGATGAATTCTTCATCCTGCTTTTTTCTTCTTCTTCTTCTTCCAGTTGCAAGGAGTTCATGTCTTCTCCAGCAGCAGACCAGGCTGCAGAGCTCCACCACTGAGACCAGTCGTGAGTAACGTTACACACTAGAACTTACTGTACTCTCTCTTAACTCGCATAAACCTGAATTTGTGCCTCTCGTGTACCATCAACAAGGCTGCGTTACCAACTGGCCAAAGTGGGCAACTCCCCTGGGTCCCTAGAGTTAAATGGGCCCCAAAAGCTCAAGGCTTAATGCGAGTCAATTGGTTTATTCTAGTTTGTTGAAAATTTGTGAGCGTGGACCATTAAAGCACAGTATAAGGTCTTTAAGAAGGGTCCTGCGTGATGAGGGGTGTTACCAGAGGAGCTCCGGAGTCCCAGGTCTCTCCATATTAGATGAATCTGGCTGTAACTGTCATTACATTCAGGTCACAGAGCTAAGCGTCAGTTTTTCCTGAAAGATAACACTTAAAGCTGTTGTATTTCCAGACTCCTCTAACCATCTGGATAAAAAACATATGTATTCTGTCTGCTGCATGAATAATTTCTGCATAATCTGTTTCCTAGATTTGTATAACATGAACCAAAAGTTGTATTTTACAGTTTCAGTTTTATTTGTCTACACTAATGTCATTTCCCCAATATTTTCTATTATCATATGCAAAAACATGTTTATATTTTTATTCTTTGGTTGTACAAAATGAGAGCTATGTTTTGACATTCTTTTAATCCAGATCAGAGTCTTCTAAAAACACAGTGTTGTTGACATGACAAAAGTTTGAACCTGTGCTGACGTAAAGACTTGTTGTTTGATTAATTTCCACATCACATATTCACTTGAAAGAAAACCAAAAATGTTGCGCACACATTCAAGCACAATAAACAATGTCACACGCAACGTATTTTGCAATGTTAATGATGAGTTGATGGTACAATAAGATAAAACCTGTCTGTCATGGAGAGCCATAGCTGCGTTATTCAGTCATTGTTAACCTCTTTTCTCCTCTGTCTTTCATGCAGCCACCGTCAGGCCCAAGGATGCCGTCACTCACAACCAGCTGGCAGCGTTTGGGGAGTATGTGGCTGAGATTATGCCCAAATATGTCCAGCAGGTCCAGGTCAGTTCATATGCTCAGAGTATCACAGTACTCCCCTTGTGCTACTCCCTGCTTGAGTGACCAAAGGACCTTAAGTGTGCAGTTTGTGTAAGAGCATTAAAGTCGCAGTATGTAGCCTAATATTTGAATTAACCAAGATAACAATTTGAAATCATGACTCATGTATCTACGTACTATTTGGTATTAGTTAGTAAATCAAAGCTGATGCGTCACAGGCTAGTGTCAGACTTGGTACAGTCAGTGGAGGAGGAAGTATTCAGATCCTTGACGTAAGTAAGAGTCCCATTACCACATTGTGAAAATACTGCACAAGTAAAAGTCCTACATGCAAAACTACTTCAGTAAAAGTTTGTAAGTATTATCAGCAAAATTTACTTAAATTAATAGAAGTAAAATTTCAGTAAAATGTTCCTTGTCAAGTGTTTCACTGTTCTGATATTTCTGGATTAATATTGCTGCTGCATTAATTGTATGTATTACCTCAGTTAAACACACCTGCTTGCCCTGCCTCTCTCTGCCCCTGTATCTCTATAAGTCATCTTTTCATGAGCTCAGGGAAACGGCCCTGTTTTCGGCTTTGTCACGATGCATTTTCCAGCTCATACAAAGGTTTATTTAGTTTAAGAAGTAGGAGAATTTCCTCAACCCATAAAGGAACATTCAGTACTTGAGTGAATGTATTTAGTTACATTCAACGACTGGGTCCGTACTGGTGCAGTAGAGATTCTTGCAGGTTGAAGAACGTATGTATGTGGTTGTCTAAAAAGCACACTTCTATTGAAATCAGAACCGGTTTTTGTCAGTTTTGTGTTTTTATTTGTGGGTTTTTAAAACTGATCTTAACAGTATCCCCTGTTTACAATTAAAATACTATACTAATATTTAAATTTCAGAAACATGCAGATGGTTTGAAAATGAGTTTTTGTGCAGGTGTCCTGTTACAATGAGCTGGAGGTGATGATCCATCCTGACGGTGTGATCCCTGTGTTGACTTTCCTGAGGGACCACACCAACGCCCAGTTCAGGAACATGATTGACCTGACTGCTGTCGACGTCCCAACACGGCAGAACCGCTTTGAGGTAGCAGTCACACCACACACACTCCTAGAAACATGTTTTGTCATTTAACTTTTTGTTCCTACCCC